CCCCCCCCTCCCCGAACACTATTTTCTTCAAGAATTTAATTATTCTTTTCAAAATTCACACAAACCCAAAGGAATTAATGTGCTGCTTTACCTTTTCACACAAGAACACCGTTGAAATTTGGGCTCGATAACTTAAAAAAAAATACTTTATTTTGTTGAAAAAGAAAGTATCCTTTCTACAACATGAAAAGAAATTACTCATTTTGTTGAATGAAAGAAAATATTTTTTCTACATCAGGAAAAGAAAATACTTAGTTTGTTGGAATGAAAGAAAATACTTTTTCTACATCACGAAAATAAAGTATACTCGTTTTGTTGAAGTAAAAGAAAATACTTTTTCTATATTATGAAAAAAAAAAGTGTTCATTTTTTTAAATGAAAAAAATACTTTTACTGCATCATTAAAAGAATATACTCATTTTGTTGAAATAAAAAAAAATACTCTATCTACAACATGAAAAAAAAGTACTCTGCAGGAAGTCCGATATAGGTCTTTGCACTAAGGCTGTGCATTTGGACCGGATATCCGAAATCCGAACCGATCCACTCTATTTCTGATTTTTGAATTTCGAATTTCGGATATTTGGATTGGATACGGATTATGTTTTATAAAATTTTGGATATTCGGATTGGTATGATTTTAATCCGATCCGATCCGAAATCCAAAATTATATGGACCTATATAAATACTACACTAAAATTTTAGGGTTAGGCTTATTCATTTTTCAGACAGCCCCTCACTTAGGTTATATCGAAATCTAATTCTCTCTCACATATTTCTCTGTCCAACTTCCGCCTCTCTTCAGTCTTCACTCTTCAGTGAAGAGTCTGAACCGGAACTCCAAATCTATATCCTCTCAAGTCTCAACCAGAAGAGTCTTCACAGTCTTCTCCAAGAGTCCAAAACTCCAAATCCCTGTTCGATTTCCAATTTGAGTCAAGAGCAAACGACGCAAAACTCTAATCGACGGTAAGACTGGCATCTCTCTCTAACTATTAGTTATTATTGATTTTATGGTTGCTTTTTTCCTCTTTCTTAGAGCTCAAAGGTGGTATTTTTTACCTTTTATTTCACGATAGAAATCAAATAGAGGTATTTTTGTGTGTGTGTTTTGTGTGAGTTAGAGAGAGATTACATGATCTTTTTTTCTGAATTTTTATGCTGTCTTTTTTCAATTTTTGTATGTATGTATCGATTTGGCTTTATGTACTGTCTTTTATGTCTCTTTCATGTTCTGTTCTTCTACTTCTGATTTTACTTTGATTTTTTTGTTTTGGCAGATGAAAAATGAGGCAGAGACACCGAATGAACTTCAAATTATTGAAAAATTTGGTGAAATGATGCTTCATATGATTCCACAACCAACAACAGTGAATCTCAATCTGGTTCGAAGAAAAGAAAAATGGTTAAAGAAAGATCAGTTGTTTGGCACCACTTCACCAAATTGCTTGTTTAGCGGCACAAGCAATTTGTTATCGCATATTCTCAAATATCCGAGCAATCCCAACAAGGCGAAAACAAGCCAGACAATATTAGCTTTTCAACAGAAAGGTCAAACAGGTGAAGTTTCACTTATCCCTTGAAAATTTGATCAAGAGGCATGTAGGAGGGGTTTAGCTCGTATGATTATTAAAGATGAACTTCCCTTTATTTCTATTAAAAAAGATAGATTTAGAGACTTTGTGAGAACTCTTCTGTTACACCCCGTGTTTTCGTACGTAAAAATACGCCATAAGTAAATTGATGAAAGCTCGGAAATGAGATATTACATCCCGCATTTTCATACGTTAAAGTTTCGTCAAAGTTTGACATTTAGAATAAAATACGACCCGAGCTAAAATATCCGGTATTTATGAACTAGTACCATACAAGGTACCACATGACCATAATAGTAAGGTGTACAAAGCGTGTTAAAATTGAGTAGTATTTTAAGTAATTTGAGATAATTCTTAATTATATGAGTAATTGATTGATTATTGGTTAATGAAGAATTAATTAGTTAAATAAAATATTAGTGGATAATTAAGACCTTGGGATAAGGCCTAAGAGGCCCAAAAACGTGGCAGAGACACCGAATGAACTTCAAATTGTTGAAAAATTTGATGAAATGATGCTTCAAATGATTCCATAACCAACAACAGTGAATCTCAATCTGGTTCGAAGAAAAAAGAAATGGTTAAAGAAAGATCAGTTGTTTGGCACCACTTCACCAAATTGCTTGTTTAGCGGCACAAGCAATTTGTTATCGCATATTCTCAAATATCCGAGCAATCCCAACAAGGCGGAAACAAGCCAGACAACATTAGCTTTTCAACAGAAAGGTCAAACAGGTGATGTTTCACTTATCCCTTGAAAATTTGATCAAGAGGCATGTAGGAGGGGTTTAGCTCGTATGATTATTAAAGATGAACTTCCCTTTATTTCTGTTGGAAAAGATAGATTTAGAGACTTTGTGAGAACTCTTCTGTTACACCCCATGTTTTCGTACGTAAAAGTACGCCATAAGTAAATTGATGAAAGCTCGGAAATGAGATATTACATCCCGTATTTTTGTACGTTAAAATTTTGTCAAGGTTTGACATTTTGGATAAAATACGACCCGAGCTAAAATACCCGGTATTTATGGACTAGTACCATACAAGGTAACACATGACCATAATAGTTGGGTGTACAAAGCGTGTTAAAATTGAGTAGTATTTTAAGTAATTTAAGATAATTCTTGATTATATGAGTAATTGATTGATTATTAGTTAATGGAGGATTAATTAGTTAAATAAGACATTAGTGGGTAATTAAGACCTTGGGATAAGGCCTAAGAGGCCCAAAAATATGGCAGCCCCCCCTTATAATTAAAATGACTCTTAAAAGTCTTGCATAGATGTCATACTGTGGAAGATTAAAGTGGCTTAGTCACCACTTGAAGTGGGCCCACACCCATTCAAACACACTTAAAGAATTGTGACCATTTTGCTTCATTTGGTCTCTTAGATTTTCAAGAGATTCAAGTATACTGTTCTTTCTATTAGAAACTCACGTTAGAACATATTGAAGAAAATCATAATATTTTACTATCCCAATACCAAATAACACATGATGGAGCACTTGGTAGGCATTGGATTTATATTACTATTGTGAGATTTTGCAATTATAAGGGAATACAGTGTAATTTTTCTCAAAACAATCGGTTCAGGTATGTTAAGGCTATCCCTTCTTTCTTTTTTGGCATGATCTATATAATACAAACGAAGCGAGCAAATTCACAACTTCCATAAATGACTCTATTCATAGAAGTATTAAAGGTGCCTATATTCTTGAATTCCCATGTGTCTTATTATTACATCTTTTATTCATGGATCTCAGAAAATACGTAAGTTGATAAAGTTACTTCATGATATTATTCAAAGGCATAATGGTCTTATGACATTCCGAGAGATTTTATTAATGTACTTCTCATGCATTGCGTTCATTTATACATATATATTGACCCATGATCAGATAGCGTTATATATGCGTATATATGTACATTATATATATATATGGGATATGGAAAAAAGGTTACGGCGTTATATACGCACCACCACCTGATCAGCTGGTATACGTTGATGATTTACCCACAGTGGCCGAAATGATATAATGGGATTCCCTCAGAGGCTTGATAATGATATGAACGTATATACCCATGCATGGTATGACATTTATACAAATATGCATGACATTATAATATTAAATGATTCACAGAGCTATTCAGATATACATGTTGAGTCTTTTACTCCATGTTTCTCTCATGTCTATTGTTTACTAATTTTTATTCCTTACATACTCGGTACATTATTTGTACTGACGTACCTTTTGCCTGGAGACGCTACGTTTCATACCCGCAGGTCCCGATAGATAAGTCGAGAGTCCTCCAAGTAGGCTATCAGCTCAGCGAAAGGTGTTGGTGCGCTCCATTTGCTCCGGAGTTGCTTGTTTGGTTATTATAATTTAGACGTGTATTGTTTGGTATGGCGAGGCTCTGTCTCGACCTTTATGACAATTATGTATTCTTACAGGCTTGTAGACAGACGTCATGTACGTAAAATATTTTATGGCCTTGTCGGCCTATGTTCAGTGTA